AAAAAAAAATTACTAACAGGAACCAGAAATTTATGGCTGTGTAAATAGTGCACCAATACTTGCAAAAAGCTACTTGATCAGTTTATTCAAGAGCGTGGACGAAGGGCCAGGGCCCAGCATAGGTTCACGTGTATACAAATGCATTTATTTCTTCATACCAGTCCACATTAGTCCCATTTCAATCTCACTCAAAATGAAACTACAAAACAGAATAGTTTAAGCCATACAAGTTTATCCCCCTAAGTTTAGTCTTTATATAATTATTTTGGGGAGATCAATGATTCCCCTTAATGTAAAGATTCAACTATTGCAAAATTTATCCCCTCACTTCCTCTTTTATATTGCAAACTATAGATCAACAAAATTTAATAGTACTTCGACCTATAGCCTAGACAGAAATCGTCCCAAAGATTCTGCAAAATACTATAATCTTAAAGACACTCCACTAAGCAACAGAAAATTTAGAAAATATGAAAATCATTTGTAGACATCCATGAGAAGCCTTCCACTGCCAAAGTATCAAGGAATCCAAATCTAGTCCACTTAGCTTTTGCATGCAAGAATGGTACATAAACAAGTCTAAAACTAATCTTGTAAGACCATTATCTTTGAGGTTAATAACATACAACACTGGACAAAGCATATCTATTGGACACAGGATGCCTGCTAGGAATTTATTTAGTTAATAATGCCAGATCAACAAGAGAAATATGATGAACATAAATATTCATGAAATTATTCTTAGAAGTTCGAAACTCTATTCAAATAAACATTCTTACTTGCTCATCGTTCAAATCATCTAACAATTGCTTTTTCTTTGAATTATGAAATTTCTTTAATTGATTTCTGATTTTGCCTGTCTTGACTTCAGAAAAATGAATATTGGAAACAGCTAAACTGCCATTACTTTCAACCTGCATGAATCAAACAAAAAGAAATATTATATTGGGCATCGGATATGCTCCATAACTTGAGACAGTATCTAAATCACATACAACTTACACAACGACGACCAGGTATTGCAGGTGGGCTGCCTCTGTCAAGCTTACATACAGATACAATATCTTCATCTTGTCCTGCACAAGATTGAATACATGCTAGAGCAAATTTGATAGTTAAGAAAAAGACATAAAAAAACTGCTGCAGACACTCACCATTACCATCTCTTGCTTCGGTTGCTTCAGGTGAGTGATCTCCGTCTTCTATTGCCTCAGTAGCTCCAGGCAACTCACCATTATCTTGTCTAGCCTCATTTGCTCTGGGTAAACCGGCATTATCTTCATTTGCCTCAATTGCTCGAGGTACAATATACTGTGGGCTACTTTCCTTGATAACTGCGAATGTTCATACCAATTAATATAATTAGAAAACAGCCAATAGAATGATGTGCAAACTGCTCATTATGGAAACTACAGAAGAAACAAGTATAAAACCATAATCATTGCTAAGCTTTAAAGTGCTTACAAGCAATGGGTTCTACAGGATGTTTGGTTAAAAAGTAGATCTAATTAGTAGGTCCTAATGAATCTGACCATCTTATAAGCACTTAAAATCACTACCAAACAAGCACTTCCTAAGTTAGTACCATTGGGGATGAGTTAGTTCTTATGCAGTGACATAACGACGATATAGCTTAGGGTCAAAAGAACCAGTTCACGCTGAAGTGAAAATTTTGATGAGTCTAGGATTCAATTCTTTGGATACAGTAATCATTTACGTTTAAAAAAATAAATAAATAATATAATAGTTTTTCTAAGATATCTATGAACAAGTCTTTAATACTAGATAGGAAGCAGGATACATTTGAGGCCGTCAAAATTCAACTTTTCAATTTGATATCTACATAGATATGAAATGAACATGTGATTTGCAATTCAATAGGGGTTTAGATATACTGAGTAACTTATGATGTACCTCCCTCTGCAGCATAGCGTTTAAGTAGCTCCTCAAGAGGTAGATCAATTTCAGTTTGTAAAGCAGCCAGTTCTTCTTCTCTCTCTTCTTTAGTTATAAGAGCCTCGTCTTCTTCAATAGTATGCTCATCGTCTTCCTAAAGCAGGATCATCAATATATGTTGACACATTGTTTGATAATTTGTAAGCACAAAGTTAAAATGCTAGAGAATAATATATTTCACAAATATTTTCACCACACAAACATTTCCTAGAGCTGGATTTTCAACTTATCAAATCACCAAGTTAAAGTATTAAAGAAGCATATGAAATTTCATTATCATAATAGATGTTTCAACACATAAACATCAGCATTGTGCATTACTAGCATTGAGCGACCCAGACCACAGGACTCAAATCTTGTATTACTCAAGAAGTCGTTAAGCACGCAAGTATTACCATTGCGTTGCGTTTGATAAGTATTGGCATTGCGTTTGAAACAAGTTATGTACACCCGAGTCAGTTAATACCGCACAATTACAGCAACAATAAGCACAAACCAAGTTACCAGCAATGAGCCTATACTCGAATTTTGAAATTGGAAATGGAAGATTAAAAACTAGACCTGCCCTGAACTATAATGAGTGCTAAAATTCACAGGATTGCTTGCAATATGTAGAGACTCGAAAATAAAACAGAAAGGAAAAAGAGAAACTACCAGAACCAAATTAACGCCATTCGCGTAAGAGTACAAAAAGAATTAACCGAGTACATACCTAATTTCTAGTATTACAAATGCAAGGTATCTGCTGCAAATTCTAGTAGACCTATCGTACTTTCCAAAGCATTAACATTTTAAAAAAATTTGAAAGGCATAAAGCAAGGAGGCTTACTGATTCGTCATCAGAATGCTCATCATAGTCTTCATCAGGAGACTTAGATTGAGATCCTAGTGTTGTCAGTTCAAATGAGGGAACATCAAAAATTGCAGAAAGAGTAAATAAACCAAATGGAACAATTCACCATTTCCCTACCAGTAACTGAATTAGCTGTCTGATTATTACTATCTTCACCTCCTCCTTTCCATTGAATACTCAACTGCTTTTGAGCAGAATACGAGTTAACTGGTTCGCGAGGAGTTGGTGAGTTTACAAGGTTCTCTGCCAGCATCGTTGAATACCTAGTAAAATTGCGAAAATAAAGAATGTTATTTTCGAAAAGATATAAAGAAAAAATGTAATGTTAATTATGTTATGGACAAACACAATAAGTGCTTGTGGAATGTCACTACTATTCTATAGGTATAATAACTACATGAAAGAGATTCCAGAGAACTACAGTTTACCTTTCAGTTTGCCCTAGAAGAAACTCCAGCTGCTTATCAAGTGCTTTTTTCTTCTTTTCATCAAGCTCTAGCTGATGCTTGTACAGGACCTGCAACAACCACGCATAGGAATTTTTTGCACTCAGAAGGTAGTGAACACAACAGGCTCGGAAGATGATTAAAAGCAATTATCCTAAATGACTTGCCAGTTTCTCTATTTTTGTCCAAAATTTCTTTACGTCTTTAGAAATATTGACTGCCACTTTTCTCAACCGCTGTTCCTCTTCCTGATCAAAGCATTAGGAAAATAAGTACAACCATCAGTATAATGTGCAAATAATTTTCTGTTCTTGTATAGCCTACACGTATGAAGACAAGAATTAAATCTAAACCTTCACTCTCTTCTCTCCCCTTGTGGCCTGATCCAGCATGCCCTTGCTGGCCCTTATTGCAACTTTCTTTGCTTGAGCAAGTTTCCATTTTCTCTCTGATTCAAAGTCCTGCTAGTAACACAGTCGTTAAAAAAACCCATAAATAAATTTTTAAAAAAAATTATATATATATATATATTATAACACAACAAATTATCATGCAATGGGCCATATGAAAGGAATGCATTTTTATCACCTTTGATAACCAAACCATCTCTTCCAGAACATGATCCCAGTGTGCTTTAGGACGTTGAGGTTCTTTAGGAGCTTCTAGTGCCTAGAGTAATAAAATTACAACATAAAATATATTAATACATCAGTCCAGCATATCCCAGGAACCCAAATTAGTATATCACTGTGAAGTATCAATATCAAGATGTTCTATTGCCATGATCCAATCTGTATTCTTCGAAGCCTATTGTTGATCCAAAACAAAATTAAAATTCCTCTCATGATGAATATCCTGATTTGAGATAGAATCCCAACTACGACGTCATTTAGCATATATATAAACTGGCAACTATATGAACTGATAAAAACAATGTCTAAGGATGATTTCTCTTTCACAATTTTATGGATATGATTTTGAATTTAAGAGTTAGAATCCAAATACTGAATTTGGTTGGACACTAATTCAAGGATTTGCAAATCATTTCCAGTCCTACAATTAGCTCTCCTCCTTTAAGTGCAAATCTATAATTTAGCAATAGTTTGGACCTACAAATGCTTAAGTTAATGAAGAGTAAGTTACAGTACAAGAGAATTAAAAAGGAAGAAAAACTCAACTGGAATTTGAGTATCAAATTTAGATCTCGAAAGCAAATTTTTTAAAGATCTTGGGTTATCCAAACAACATGATTCCATTTATTGCTCTCAAATTCAAGATTTATATTTTTCCCTTAATGTACTTAAAAAGGTAGGAATCCACATGGTAGATCTGACCAGGGAAAACATCAAATAAATTTAGAATTACTTTGGCTCCAGGAAATATAATCATGGTTAAATGTTAATGTAATTTGTAAAGGACAGTTACATACATTCTCGTATAAAAACATTACCACATTCATATACAAAAGTGTTTGTAATATAAACATCAACGAAAAGAGTGATATATATTTACCTTTTGCCGCCTAGCCCGCGTTTCATGATCAAGCTTGGACCGTGGACCTTTGGAGGCCATAATTGCACCAAGATGCCTATCTCATACTTAGAGCTAGAAGAAAAAAAACAAATGCCAATGATGAAAATTGTGTGTTANTGATGCTTGTACAGGACCTGCAACAACCACGCATAGGAATTTTTTGCTCTCAGAAGGTAGTGAACACAACAGGCTCGGAAGATGATTAAAAGCAATTATCCTAAATGACTTGCCAGTTTCTCTATTTTTGTCCAAAATTTCTTTACGTCTTTAGAAATATTGACTGCCACTTTTCTCAACCGCTGTTCCTCTTCCTGATCAAAGCATTAGGAAAATAAGTACAACCATCAGTATAATGTGCAAATAATTTTCTGTTCTTGTATAGCCTACACGTATGAAGACAAGAATTAAATCTAAACCTTCACTCTCTTCTCTCCCCTTGTGGCCTGATCCAGCATGCCCTTGCTGGCCCTTATTGCAACTTTCTTTGCTTGAGCAAGTTTCCATTTTCTCTCTGATTCAAAGTCCTGCTAGTAACACAGTCGTTAAAAAAACCCATAAATAAATTTTTAAAAAAAATTATATATATATATATATTATAACACAACAAATTATCATGCAATGGGCCATATGAAAGGAATGCATTTTTATCACCTTTGATAACCAAACCATCTCTTCCAGAACATGATCCCAGTGTGCTTTAGGACGTTGAGGTTCTTTAGGAGCTTCTAGTGCCTAGAGTAATAAAATTACAACGTAAAATATATTAATACATCAGTCCAGCATATCCCAGGAACCCAAATTAGTATATCACTGTGAAGTATCAATATCAAGATGTTCTATTGCCATGATCCAATCTGTATTCTTCGAAGCCTATTGTTGATCCAAAACAAAATTAAAATTCCTCTCATGATGAATATCCTGATTTGAGATAGAATCCCAACTACAACGTCATTTAGCATATATATAAACTGGCAACTATATGATCTGATAAAAACAATGTCTAAGGATGATTTCTCTTTCACAATTTTATGGATATGATTTTGAATTTAAGAGTTAGAATCCAAATACTGAATTTGGTTGGACACTAATTCAAGGATTTGCAAATCATTTCCAGTCCTACAATTAGCTCTCCTCCTTTAAGTGCAAATCTATAATTTAGCAATAGTTTGGACCTACAAATGCTTAAGTTAATGAAGAGTAAGTTACAGTACAAGAGAATTAAAAAGGAAGAAAAACTCAACTGGAATTTGAGTATCAAATTTAGATCTCGAAAGCAAATTTTTTAAAGATCTTGGGTTATCCAAACAACATGATTCCATTTATTGCTCTCAAATTCAAGATTTATATTTTTCCCTTAATGTACTTAAAAAGGTAGGAATCCACATGGTAGATCTGACCAGGGAAAACATCAAATAAATTTAGAATTACTTTGGCTCCAGGAAATATAATCATGGTTAAATGTTAATGTAATTTGTAAAGGACAGTTACATACATTCTCGTATAAAAACATTACCACATTCATATACAAAAGTGTTTGTAATATAAACATCAACGAAAAGAGTGATATATATTTACCTTTTGCCGCCTAGCCCGCGTTTCATGATCAAGCTTGGACCGTGGACCTTTGGAGGCCATAATTGCACCAAGATGCCTATCTCATACTTAGAGCTAGAAGAAAAAAAACAAATGCCAATGATGAAAATTGTGTGTTAGTTCACCGTACATATAACAGAAAATGCATAAACATAAAGACTGCAGTAAGAAGTGGCAACGTGAAAGTGGCAAACCATAAAATGGTTCAAAATGGATTGTCCAACACTAGCACCAACCTAAACAGTAAAGGGCAAGCCAACTGTTACACATATTAATTCAAGCATATATTTGAAACACAAGAAAAAAATTCATAAAAAAAAGCAGCACAACATTTAGGTCTTTGGGTTAGTGGCAAGTTCTGTTTTTCTTTAGTTCAGGGCAGGCGATTATTTGTACTTTACCGCCTCTGACTTCGTTATGGTTTACCATATATAGGTACAAATTAAGCATGTCTATTCATGTGGAGAAATTTCATCAATGGTGCACTAGCAGGCTGGAATCCATGTAAAAGGAAAAAAAATACATATAGCTTTACAACTTCACGAGTAGTCAAACCTGCTTTTAAGTATTTGGTTGAAGTAATTGAATGTCTTTCAACGAAAATCACTGCTCTAAGTAGAATTGCCTTTCATACACGAAAACCAACTATTAGCTGAATTTGCTCTCTCTCTCTCTCTCTCTATCTCTCTCTCTCTGCGCCACCTGCCCTCCTCATGAAGTGTCTTTCTTGAATTGATCGTCTCTACAAAAACTAACTAATGGTTGCAAAAGGCCTCAGGCCTTTAAACCTCTCCTGTTTAAATAACCTTACAAACTAAAAAGTTAATTTAGTTGTGAATTTCTTGAGAGGGAAAATGCAACAGAGTCAGTGCAACTTAAACCTCGTTTCATTCCCTTACCTTGTATAGTTTCTTCACCAGACGTGTAAACAAGTTTAACGAGGACAAAATTGCTCCTTCAAAAAGAAAAGCAATAACAACGAGAAAACAGTAAGTTAAAATAGAAAAAATCAAGAAATTTGTAACATTACCCAATCCCAGTTATATGGTGAAGGAAACTTTACCATTAGTTGCATAAAATACTGGAAAAAGATAACTCTACTTCCAGAAAACATTTGTTCATCAAATTTAAGAACATAAATCCATAAACCATCAGAAAATTAAATACAAACTACCCATTCATTTTAAATGCAAGAAATGTGGCACGAAGTTAGTTCTTGTCCCGGCTTAAGTTTCCAGTAACAAGTTACAAATTCTCCACACAAAACAACAAAATAAAGCAGAAAACTTCACAAGACGAAAATTTTCCAACAAGAAAAACAACTAAAGGCTAAACTCTAACAAAGAAACACGTTTTCACGTGCACAAACATAAAGTAAATAAAATAAAAAATTATTTTGACATGCAGAAGTATAAATAACAAAATACTCAAACTCACCAGCTAAAATCTCTTCGATTTTCAAGAAATGAAAAAAATCCAACTTTCGCTTCTCAAAAACAGATAAACAAATTAGAAAGATCTGAACTTCTACAGAGAGAAAGAAAAATGATTCGGCTGTGTGTGTGGGTTAGGGTTATTTAGAGAGAAAATTCGGGTTTAAGCGCCGATGGCTTCCGACGAGTCTCAGATCCGGAAAATAATATATATGTGTATGTTACGTATATCGATATATAAAAATGTATGTAATAGATAAAATTAATTAACGAAAATAATTAATTATTTTTGGGACTTTTCTTGAGAAAGCCAATGGATTGAGGGTGAGACTTTACTGTTACTGCGGGGATGAAGGACGATAGATTTATGAATGAATGTGTATTTGATCTAACGGCTGTGATTGAAGGATGGATGTGATTAACGGCTGTGATTTATTTTTCAATTAATGGTAACTACGAAGAGGCTGCGTAGTGGACAAAAAGTGTAGTCAAGTCTAATGCCTACTTTTTGCTGCTGCTGCTATTTTAGAGTATATTTATTTAAAGAGTAATTAGAGGCTAAACTTAATTTTTATCGAACACGTTCTTAATTCTGGAAATAACTTTCACTGCTGACTAACATGTATTTCTTCTTACAAGACATGAGCTTTAGACCTATGTACTCCATCTCCCAAATGTCTACATCTTATTAGTCTTGGCTTTTTCTTTATTTTTTTTTAACTTACTATGAAATCATAGAAAAGAAAAAACTGGATTGATTCTTAAAAAATTAGAAAAAGGGCAAGTCTTGGAGATAGAAAAGTAAGGATCGGTTTGATGCATTAGAGTAAACTTGATTTGTTTAAAGAAGAATAAGACATTTTACAATAAGAGTGATGTTACTTATCACCATTAATGTTAAGTATCTATCTAAGCGACGTACAAGTATTATTGATCGGTAGATCACCTTAAAAATATGAAAATAAATCACTATTGACCGACCCTTGTCATTTTACTTGAGTTTAGATTACAACATGATGAGAATAATATTCTATGACTAGCAATTCATTTGTCTTCAAATATGCCACTTTAGATGTCCTATCACTGCATGACACTTAAATTGAAACAATGGCACCATCAATGGTTGTTAATAGAGTTGAAGTTACTAAATTCTGAGAAATCGGTATCAATTTATATCGAATTGCTCCACATATAGTCCCTCAAACAACATTTTCTAAACGAAATGGATAGCATTATTCTTTACGCGAATGAATTTGAGACATTTTGAAAACAATTAAGAAATAATATGATTTATTGAATTTCTCACTACAAATTATGGTCATGTTTGAGCCACCTTATTATAGAATGAAAAATATAGTCGTTATTGAGGGCCCACACAAGAAATAGAAAATTTGAATTTAAATGTTGATGTGATGGATAACAATCATATTTTTCATTTTAATGAGATAAGAAAGTGGCACAAACGGGAGCTATAAAGAAAAAAAATGAAAATTCTTTTATTTTAATAGTAGATTTACTTTTGCCAAAAATCTTATAATTCTCCTCATCTTGCGAGATTATAATCTAAGCTCGCGTTTGCTCTTACTTATAACTGATCAAATCGTTTGTATTTATATATTTCGTAGTACCCAAATATCCACGATTTATTTTTAGTTATTTATAATTTTAATTAATTATATACAATTCTCATACATGATTTTGATGTGTTTATCAATTTTTGGGTCACAGATATTAGATTCTAATGAAATTTAATATTTGAAATCCCCTTGATTTTTTTATTTGTTGCTTTCCTGATTTTGTTCTAATTTTCTCTTTCGATATACCTTCTTTAGATTTATTTACGCCCTTCGAGATAAGACTTAATTATTGTAATTTTTTAATCGTGCACCAATAGCAAGAAGTCTTCCACCATCCCTCCTAAGCAGCATGGATGTATGGTTGGATTACCGTGTAGAGAATGGAGATTGGCCAAAAAGATTAAGACGGTTCGCGAAGAACGAAGCTGGCACAATCACAAAAATGAAGGCATGAAAGACAAAAAGGCTTCAAATAGAGGCTTTTTTCAAGTCAAATCCAAGACAAGACAGACGGTCAAAGGCCGTAGCGGACCACCACTTGGGATGGGAATAACTTTCACGTGTGTTTCATAGAAGTCCTGTACTAGAGTGTTAAGTAGCAAAAGCAAGCTTGGCTTGTAAAACTTCTCAAAACCCATGGCAAGTGACATGAGTGAGCTTAATTTCTATGATTCCTTGTTTCAAAAGCAAATGGACATAAACGAACCCTACTCTAATGAATCCTTACAATTTTATACGTAACAATACCTAAATGAAAGAGACTTAGCTTAAATAAGTTTGGCCAACGTCGTACCCATGCAAATGACGATAAAATTCAATGAATCATAAAATACAATAAGACTTTAGTACAAGTATTACACTTAAAAGGATTGTGCAACAAATAATTTCTTTACTAAAGATCGAAAAACCTTAATTCAGGTTAACCTTGGAGGTGTTATTCGAGAAAGGTTGAGTTACATAGAGTATAATCAAAAGAGGGGAAGAGATCAATAATTATGCAACAAGAGACTAATGGAGCAATCTTTCTGTCGAGATACAACAAGTACCAGTATATATGTGTGTGTGTTTTGCGCACGCTCATGAATCTACTCAACATTTTTAAGTCAAGATTGTATTATAAAGTTTGACATTGATTTTAGCTATCTCCTCCACTACCCTCTCAAATAAATTTGTGAACATTTTCTGAAGATCAAACTACATGAGTGGACATTACATCGGACTAACCCCCATCGGTTATGGCATATTTGCTATGGTCCGTACTATCCTAGCCTCAACTCTGCTAGCAATCCAGTCTTTTAGCCGACGAGCTTAGTGATTTTGGACTAACTTGCCTGATTTTGACACATCTAAACCACATTCCTCGTATCTTAAAAGAGAGAACCCCTGATCACTGTTCATTTATGTCACACAAGTTTTCACATTTATCCTCTTTTCATTTGGTTTTGCTACAGCCACTTTCTAATCTTCCTAAATATCTAGACATCTTTGTTGACTAATTGGTATATATTTTCCTGAGCCGTCCAATTGCAGTTGATATTTTACAAATATCTTCTCCAAGTACCTTTTGTATTGGAGAAGCAAACCAACAATAGAAGAACCAAAAGTTACATTGTTCCAGCATTAGCTGTAATACCCAGACTATAAAAGTTTAAAAGATTAATAGGTATTACTTATACCAACAAGGTAGGGGTGTCCAAAAGTCCCGAACCGAACCGAACCGAGCAGTTCTTCATAAATTAAATATCCGAACGGTTACACGAATCGAGAACCGATGGGTTTGGGTCGGGTCTCGGGTCTAGACCAAGAACCGAAGAACCGAATAAGAACCGAAACTAAATAATTTTTTTCTTTTTTATATTGAATTAATTAAATTATTTTATTTTTTTATATACAAATTAGCAAATTAATTAAATAAATCAGATTATTTCATAATTTTAATTTTAAAGCCCAAATCATTTTTAAAACCTATTAGCTCATTTTAATTTGAAGCAAATGAATATACTTTATGTAGTTTTGCTGTAATATTAATATC